CTGCTGACACTTTGCAGTTAAGATGCACTTTCACTGACACCAAGATCTGACTTTGGGTCACAATTACATCCCATTTTTGCTACATGATTAAACCAAGAAATCCTATTTTAGATTACAACCTCTAAAAATCAACTAACCTTTCAGTATTGAAGTTGGAATGAGACAATTGAAAAATCCCATGAGTTTGAGCTGAAATTAGTTGTTGGATGTAAACAGCTGGAGGGGGAAAGGAAATATATTGAGAGCAGCAGGATTCCCTTTAGGAGAGAAACAGAGAACAGTTAGTAAAAGGAAGCATGATAAATAATGTGAGAAGAACAGTGTTTATAAAATGAAAAAGGGACACAAAGAGAGAAAAATGGGTTGAGAGCAGTAGTAACTTAATAGAAAGTGAAACACAAAAGGCAAAAGGAAGCAAAGAAGTCTTACCTCTAAAACTGTAATTATTTGCCCCTGATTAAAGCATAAAACTCTGTGAGAAGTATGCTATTCCAGAATAAACTGACATGGGGGACTTGGGAGTCTCGTATAAGGCTGGGATAAAGAGTCACTCAGATGAGTAACAGCTAGTTCTTCAAGTGTTCTGACCACAGCTATGTTGACAAGGGTACATTCTCTAAAAGCTGCAACTGGACAGGACACAATGATAACTCAAACCACACAGGATGGCAGGTAGTGGTGCTGGTACTTCATTTAGTCAGCATCACATTTATGCATATCTCATGGAATGAGTCTACCAATATTAAAGTCATTTCAAATTTATGCTGCAGTGCCATTCAACTTGTCAAGACCGGGCAGATATCAAGCACTGTTTCATGCACTAAATCAAGGACAGCTTCAGGCTCTAAGTACATCACACCTGTTTGGAAGTACTTATAAGAAAAAAAGGATTTATTTTGTAAAAACTAGATGTAAGTATTAGTTCTAGAGAAGGTGCTACCTTTCTGCTAAAGCATGAGGCTAAGATCGAAAACATGCCCAGACACTAAACGCTAGGATCATCTAGGACTTAGCCTTGATATTCGCATCCTTGCATAACAAAATTTGTATTGCAATTCCAGCTTGATATAACACACTTTTATTGTATTTCCTAAGCAATCATACGAAGATTTCCACACTTCGCAGTATACATCTCCTGCTGCTCATTGGTTATGGGTTAGTACGTCTAGTAAGAGTTGACTTGTCACCAAGGAAAGAAATTTTAGAGCCAGAGTGTCTTCATAAAGATAACTCAACAGGAAAAGAATGTGCATTACCTATATGCCAGGTGCAAAATAAAAAACAATTTAAGAAATTCCATTATCCACCAAGCAGCATTATGGAAGTACTATCATTACTACACCAAAAAAATTGAGTATAATTTCCATGTGCCTTTATGTGAGACAAACATTGTATTTTACTTGATTAATTAGTTCCGTAATACTGCTAAATAGCTAGAAATTGTACAATATTAGTATTGCACACGTCCTTCATAGATGTGACTAATTCTTGAAACAGAAGTCCCGGGACCAAATCCCAACCAAATTGCTACAAAATGCTCTCATCCACTTCTCTACCATGATGGAAAAAATTCAGCCTGGATTTGAGAAAGTTGGGAAAAGTTTATGGTCACTGGCATCAGAGCAAAATGCCAAATAACCAACCTCTGTCTGTGGAAAAGAAGTAGAGTTATTGTGGGAACTATTGGATTCAGCAAGTTGCACTTCTGCTCAGAGAGAAAATGTATTATCACTCCATTTATTATAGTGTACTTCCGCAGATGTTCCCAGGACAACTTACTTCTAGAAACGCTCCCTCACTATGGACCGTGCTCTACAAGGTGGAATATAAATGTATAGCTTATGCAAATAGAAATTGTAATCACACATTCTAAAAAAAGGCTGGTCATCTCACCATCATCACCTCACTGAAATACATGAATCATTATTGCATAATTTCCTCTGAAGATAACAGGAAGTCTTGATCCTTACTTCAACACTAGATTTGGTTCAATGGCTTATTTCATTTTCTTATAAAACACTATCATCATCTAGTGGTATATTTTGCTACTATGCAAACTGCACGTTATGAAGGTGAAAGTATTTCATTTACTTAGCATTAAACATTTAGAATAAGACATACATTTATCATCTTGCAGTTATGCCAAACTATGTGAGGGTGGGGATGGAAAATGAAGTAACATGAAATAAACTTGACAGAACTGTTGAGGATTTTGAGAACAAACAACATGCCAACATTTTGCATGATGGAAATTTGAATAATTTTCTGTCCAAAAGTGAAGAAAAAACAAATAAAAAAATACAGCTTGAGGATGGTTCATATCTCATTCATACTACCCATAAAATACAAAGGGACATAAGCAAATATTTTGAAAGAAAACCTCACAGGTTTTTCAAACAAAAACATTTTTCACACTGTTTTTCTGACAATTTTGGGGAAAAAAAATCCTATTTACTATTTACAAAAGTCCACTATTTATTATGAACATATAACCAGCATCTACATAAATAAGTTGTTGACTTACGTGGTAACTTTTCAGTCTAACAAAATCGACTTTCATGGAGATGAACCTTTCTGAATTTCTGCTGAGATTTTTAATGTGCTCCACAAGGTCAGCACAGAACTTGTAGCCACCTTTGAGGACACAGAGAACCACAATATCATTGTCTCCAATGTCTTGCATAATATCTTTGGCCAACCGTTCTGTCCTGGGGCAAAAAAATTAAGGATAAAATAACATTAGATGTAGATTCTGTAAGTTCATGGCATGCTTTCCACGTGGTTACGAAGAAACACTACAATGAGTATGTGGCTTGACTGACAGTCTGTTTAAGTGTCTCGCCTTGGCTGGGTTCGGATCCAGCTCATGGTAGGCAGATATAGAGTGATAGATGCCGGATGCAAGATGCAAAGCATGTGAATCAAATTGGTTAACCTCAAATGCAAAAATTCCTCAGTTAAGAAAAGGGAGTAACACATTTCAGCATATGTTGAATTCATAAGCATTTCAGAGACTTTGGAGTAAAGAACGCAACTTAAGTTTTACCTCAGAGGAAACATCAATATAAAATATTCCTGTGCAATCCCCTAACTTGTTATGTTAGTTACTACGCAAGAACAATAAATTAAGTGAAAGATAGGGAAGAGAATTATTAGAAATATTTAATACTGATAGGTTTTGGAAGACGTTTCCTCTACAATTTTAATAAAAAGATACACGAATAGCATAAAGAAATATAGTATCAATCAAAATTTTGTAAAGAGTGCACATTATCTCTATTTCATACAGCAAAAAAGAAGAGTGCAAAGAGCTTAGGTAACTTGTTCAAGGTCACACACATGAGAATAATCAAGGTTATGCTCCAATGAACCTGGAATTGCAGTGTTCCCATATCTGTCTTGTCATTGACAATTCCGCATTGAAAACACAATGTGGCAGATGATGGAAGCCAAAAGATACACATTTCTGCCATAAAATAGTACATACATTTTCAAGATAAAAATAATAATCATGAATGCTTATCTTAAGTATCTTTGCTTTCTGAAGAACAAGGTAGATGGCATTTCTGGACCTAAAACAGGGTACCAGGTCATTTCTAGATGTAAAGCAGGTATCGACAGAAAACTGAAAAATGTCATTTGATGTTTTGAGAAAAAACAGCTCAGTGCATTATTTTCTGTAAACCATTTTGCTGGAAAGTTCTTCAATAACTGAATTAGATTAGTAGTTTCACTGAGAGTGGACTTCTTGACAGGACGCGACTTAATAAATAATCCTATAATTTATCCCATTATTACATTTTTCATATTTTTTTCCTCTACCCACTGTAATATGGGAATCCATTTGCCACTACATAAATACACTGAACTTCAGTGAAATCTACACATGTGCATGGACCAGAGAAGAATAAGTCCTAAATTGAAGATAATACACTAGTTACGAGCAAAAGCTCCCGCTTCATTTTCACATCTTTGTATTTGTAATGCTTAAGTAAATTCGATATAGCAGTAATTTTTAGATTTGAAAAATAGAGGATATCATTAGACCTTGTTTGTTTGACCTTGAATATATAATTCCTTTTACTGATGCACAAGTGAAGATTAGTAAGATTTTCACGTACTTTACTGAAGATTAGTAAATAGTCTTTTATCATCTTTTACCAAGTCTGAGAACAATGAGGAAAACTTTTCATTAGGAAGACGCATTTCTCTGATGATTTTAATTTTTTTACATTTCTCCTCAGACTGAGGAGCTGAAATTTCCAAAAATTCCAAAGACCATTTTCTATTTTAAAAGAGTATGAACTCCAACATAGAAAAAATGTACTAATTTCAATTTCTAAATAAAAACATACCAGTTTTTTAACCTATATTTAATTGCTATCAACTGACAAGATAATTTTCTCAAGTGCTGAGCCTTCTTACTAGATGAAAACTTTGCATGATGACAATATATTCAGTTTTGCGTCCTTTTCCATTAGGATAGAATCAGTCTTTACTGAAAGTAAGAAAAAACAGTGGAGTTCATTCTGCTGGAGTACAAAATCAACACTGGAGTTCAACGCTTACTTTGAACAAATTTATACTGAATTCTATGAGAACTGAGGTTGTAACATTTATTTTAAAAAGAGGAATTAAAAGTCATTTGACTCGAACCAAAAAAGATGAAAAATTCAACACAATAGTAACAGAGAAGGTAAGGAAAGAAAGCTTGTGCTTCAAAACAAATACAGGAGTCATAACTCTTCCTCATGATGGATGTTTACAGTCTTCTTTCAAAGAGTTCCAACAATTTCAGTACTTGTACCCAACTGTTTTACATGTGGTAGGTAGAAAGCTGCAGGCCGAAAATGTGCCACGAAATTCCATTCAGATGTTCCCAATAAACACACTGCTGGAAATTACCATTTCCATTTTGTAACTTTTTCATAAGATTTTTGACAGCACGTCAAAAAAGTAACTGAGCATGAACACCGAGCTGGACTACCACAAACACCAAAGCACCATCAAATGTCTACACAGAGCGTATGGGAACTACTACAAGGTAAGGAATGAGGGATCATCAAGCTTTCCCAGTGCCACCCTCCAAACCTAACAGCTGGACGCAAACAGTCCATGACACACTTTTCGATTGTGCTGAATGGCCGAAGTCAATGGTACAGGAGAGAACCATCAGGTTAATCGGCATTAAAGATTTGCACTAGGGAGTCGATGAAGTTGTAAATAACTGAATGTAGTTCTTACTCCTTTTTATATTAAAAACACAGGATGGGTAGGGTGCAAGTGGAACATTGACATATAACTATATACAAAGCTTTGTACTTGCCTTTTCTTCTTGAGTTCAGCTCTCTTATAATTTACGTTCCAATGCCAATTTCACCATATGATCACACTCTGCTTTTTGTGGGACCCCTGTCTCATTCAATGCCCAAATCAGAAATTAGGTGAAAGAAATCAGACAGTGAGTTGCAAAGGCAGCTACGAGTCTAGCATTTCCTAACCTTCAAGCATTGTTTTACTTTCCCCATTAAATAAATAAAATTCTGCTAATGCAATATTTTAGGACAAATGGTATATACACACTGTCTATGGATGACTGGCTTTATAAAAAAGAATAACAGTATGGACCAAAGAATGTATTTAGTAACACCCAAACTACACGTACCTGTCAACAATAATGCCGTGAGGTATGAGCACATATTCCAGATCTCCATAGTAGTGCTGAGGGTAAGTGAACAAATCCAGACTGTATCCTGGCCAATTGTCTGAAATCTGAATATCAAATAGTACTGTTAAGAATACTTCATGGTGCTTGACAATATGTAACTGATATAAAATCAGTGTTCTAGTACACACTATTGGCTGAATTAATTGTATTACATATTGTCTTCCAGTTATAATTTACTATTTCCCTTTTACTATTAATTATTTTGCTTCTCAGTGTATCTCAGAAATCAAATGCTAAAGTTTTTTCGCCACAGAACTTGGGAAATATCACCTGAAATTACGAACAACCACATAGAGAGAAGAAATATTTAATACTAATCTACTGGAAACCCCACGGTTCTTACTACTTTCAAATTCAGAATGCAAATGTAAGATTATCAGTGAGAAGGGACTTTCCAATGGGACATTGAGACAGTGGGATTACAAGTCATAAAATCATACATTAAAATTGTATATTTCTGGTTTAGAGGTGTTTTAAAGACACACATAAATAAATAAATATTCTACAGATGAAACAGAACATAGGGAGAATAAATTACATGGTTCATGGTATCTTTACAAATCAGTAGAAGACTGTACTTCTTGCCAAAGGTGAGGTTCTTAATTTAAATAAGTCATAAAAGATAAGTGATTATAAAATGTTCACATCTCAACTCACTATCAGGTAGTCTGTAAATTCATACACTTGCAGAAAAAATATTTTACGGATTTAATATACATTAGTTTCATAAGTATCAGACTACAACAATTAGGAGATCCCACAGCATACAATGCCAGCGGAGATTAAGTAGGGCAAATATCAGCCAACAGATAAAGGCTTCACTAAGCTATGAAGATACAAAGTCACCAGCGCAAGAACTAAAACTCCAAACCAACAATTTTCAAAATTTCTTATGAAAGGCAAGACCTACAGATTCACAAGGTATCTTGGAACCATTATAAGGCTTTGCTTCAATATTGGTTCAGGATAAAAAGCGACACCTAATAGGTTTTCTTTACAATCATGTTCCTCAAGTTACATATTACCTTTCTTCTTTCTGCAGCTTGGCCACATGAACCTTGAGTAGAAGGATAAATGGTGAGACACTTGCATTTGTGACATTAATGGCATTTCTGCTAAATCTAGCCTTTAAAGGACTATCACTGAAACTAACCTCTGCTTATGATTTCATGTAGTAGAGCAATAAACCATGTCTCAAAAATAAGCTAACACAACATATTTGATGTTGAGCTGTTCCTCCACATCTAGTCTTCTTGAACTTAGGCATAGCCCTGCCTCCTGCTGTACTGAAACATTGTTCTGCCTCATGGATTTTTGTTTGGTTGGGTTTTTTTGCATATTCATTGACAGCTACAGACACCTCGACTGTCATGTTTTCTTATCTCTGCCCAACAGTTTCTGTATCAAAAAAAAAATTATTTGTTGGTAAATACTACTGAACATTTGCCCATAAGAGCATGACTCGGAGATCACTGAAATCAGTGAAAGCTCTTCCCCTGCCTTACACAAGCCTTGAAACTACACAAAAGAAAAAAAGTTACTTAGTTATGTTCCTCATTACCATAGAAACAGGAGATTATAAATACCCTCCTTGGAGAGGTTTTTAATTAGAGGCAAATCTTGCTCCAAAAACACTGCTTCAAAAGGCCTGGGAAGCCTGTTTTCCCATCTTCATTTTCAGTATATAGGGGTGGCTGAAACTTTTAAAACATTTTGTAGCAATGAACTGTCTGGCATGGTTTTGTTCAAAAGCATTTTAACATAAAATGAAACAATTTCAGATAGTGCTTTAAATTGCAGGAGTACAATAAACACCCACTAAGAACGTCTGTCAGTATTGCTCACTTATGCATTCTCGTCAAATTGCATGTTTTTAGCGTGATGCAGAAGATCAAACTAAATGGATGCAAACTGCTTCAGAATTCATACAAACCAATAGCTTTTACTTAGGTTACAATAAGAACCTTATCAAACAGGTCAGGATGAAATTTTGATTCTCCTATCTATCCTTCTGATTCTCTTGAATAAAAGAACATAAACCGCATCACTCTGCAATAATATAGAAGTTCTCATTTATGAGAGCTTACTGGCATTTGACAAATAAGATTAAATTCACATGTACTTTCTAATTAATTATTTTTCTAATATAACAAGCCTATTTCATATTCTTCTTTCTTTTAAACAGGCACTTTCCAACAATAAGGCTTAGAAATTCTCATTTACCCTAAAGCTATTCTTAGTGTTATACTATAGGACAGGGGTTTTTTTATGAGTATTCTGCTTGTGAACTTTTTTTTTAAAAAAAAAAGTGTGATTATCCTCATTTTAATAGCTAAGCATCAAAAAAATCCGCCCCAAATTAAACTCAACTTCTAATTACTTCTGGCTTTAGCCATTGAAAATATGAAGGAAATATTTGTGATTGTTTCAATAAAAAGACAGTATTCAACTGGATAAATAAATATAGATACTAAATATATCGGTACAGAAGAGTTAAAAAAAAAGTCCTACAGTGAAAGAAAGAGCTATTTTTAAAGTTCAGGCTTGGCATGTTCAAGCAGCCTAGCAGAAATTCTTCAGCAGGTCTTTAGAAAGTTGAGTGAAAGTATACAAAAAGGAATACAAATACACGGCAATACTCTAAAGCATTCCCTTGAAGTGTAAGAAGTTGGAGGCACTCAATTGCAACACCTTTGGAAACAAACATGGCTAGTTTTGCTGTCTGGCAAAGTGGGTACCTGTGAGATTTGAGCACAGTGCTCGCTTCAGAGCAACAACCATCTGGATTCTACTTTGGTGTAAAATAAGGGAGCGAGCATCAAGCAAAGTACAGCTTTTGTACACTTAAGTCACACTGTGCTGGCGCTACTTTTGGTTAGTTTTTTGGGGGGTTGGGGAGCACATGCACACATTCGTGCGTAGCAAGCAGAAGAAATGAAGTCAGTACAGCAGAACGTGGTTATGAGCATTCATTTCCTCCTTTTGCTGTATTCTCACACTCACTTTAAAAATGTCATTTATCACACAGGTGTCAGGAGAGGTGGTTGATGCATGGTGGTTTCAGACAGAGCTCGAACACAGTGATGGGTTTCTGTGGAAGGGGGACAGAGGGGATGCTGGCATGAACAGGGTGTGACTGCTGCCTGCACAGAGCCTCAGCTCTGGGCCATGACCCAGGTGGCTGTTCTTCAATTCCATTAATATCCCAATGCCACAATAAAATAAGAACACACCTAAGGTGGTAGCAGTGATGGTATTTCCTTCACAGGAGAATGTGGTTTGTCCCTCAGAATAAGGAGCATATTCGCTCATTTTTGCTTAATTCATTCGGCCTCACAGGTCCTTAAAACGCACTGCTAAAGTTCGGGCTTTTTCCCACCACAGAAGAACGAGAAGCAGCCTAACAGCGTGCTTTTACAGCGCCCCCGGACCCTCGAAGGCCTCTAAGCGTCTCGGTGGGAGCCAGATCCCTGAGGATCCTGAGCTCCTTTA